ACAAGTCTTATTTTGATGATTTGAAATTTATTTTTAATAATAAATTCCTATTTCATCTGTTTTAAATCACTGTACACTACAAGAGACTGTTATACGATTCAATTTAAAAACCATGGTTTTACTTGGATATAAATTATCATAGGTAATGAATTTAAATAAATAAATCTATTTTAAAACCAGTTTCACATTTACCAACTTCTTTCCCAATAAACTGTGGAAATATTTATTATAATTTGCTATATTTGTGACATCTGGGACTTTACCACTTGGCCAATTTATATGTCAAATTTAACACTACCGACTTTTAGAATAAAAATTAATTATAACAACAGCAAACCACAAAAATAATAAGTTGATTTATAAAATTGGTGCAATACTGTAAATATTAAGTCACCAAATTGGACAGCAAATTAAAATCTATTGTCTCTCATTTTGTGGTCAATCCACGGAATATTGGAATTATTGTACCACACGTACCGATATAACTTGGCCAATTTCTTGTTCAATTTATGGAGTTCAAAATTGTCAAAAATGTAAAATAGGTTGTAACAGTATGTAATTAGCAACCAAAGCACACATCGTGTTGAATAATAAGTACTTCATTAATAATTATCATTATTGTTAATACATAATAATAATTATTATATCAATTGAATAACTTTGCTGATTATGCATGGTAACAAATTAATAATAATATCGTGTGGCACATAGCATTTTGAAATTATTATTAAAATATGTATCTTCTCTTTATGTTTTCCTCAATTATTTGGGATAAAAAGTATATTCTAAAGTATTTATACATGATTTGTAACTTTTAGTTATTAAAATACAACGGTTGCTATGGTAATGAAGAATGTAAACAATTTGTAACGATATTATTTTACTTTTATAAATTAAGAATTTTGTTTATATATTTTGGTTTCGCCATATCGTTAACTTTTCGGCTGACTTTCATTTTATGCTATTATTGGCACATTATTTACATTTGATTTGCATGCTCTGGAAGAAACCACGAACAATATCGTCCTATCTTTCGAGGTTACTAGGTGTCAACAAACAATGAGCAAGCATTACAACATTACAATCGAAATCATGGAAATTGAGCGATGCATATTGCCCAATTATCGAAGATGTACATAAACTTTATTTGAGGATTGTGTTATCGCTGGGTTAATTGCCACATAGAGGACACGGAAAAATTTAAAATTGCCCGACGGTGACCCCAACAGCTGCTTCCCACTGAATGGTGATATCAAAAAGCAACGAATGACTTTTTACGCTTATCTAAGAAAAACGGTTATACGAAATTTGCATTTTATCAACCACTCGTAAAATTTGACGTCGTAGACGAGAAACAGGTCCACTTTCCGATAAGGGGATCAATTTGATCATCATCATCATCATCGTCCCATATTTCTAAATACCTCCTCACATACTAACCGTCTATGATGACTGAAAATCTGTATTCTCAATCAACCATTAATGGAATAACGGCTCCTCAAAATAAAAAACGAAAAGTCAAAGGCTGTGCCGATGCCCCACAGCCAGTACTGTCCCTTTGACTCGATAACGGGTGCCTATGACTAGAAATATCCAGGGCGACAAGTCCCTACCTTAAGCCTGTTGAGATTCCCGTCTCGGGCGGCGTTGTACACCACGCTCTTGTAATCCATTTTGGCTCTCACCTTTCACAGAACAAAGCACTAATCCTCGCTACTTTTTGCACAAAAATTGTTAGGCTTCCATCGCTCACAGCCTATGCTGCGGTTGGCGGACAACTGCTGATCGGATTCGGAGCATTGGAGCACTGAACACGGTTTTATCGGCACCGGGTGGCTTGAAGGACGACAACTGACTTCTGGCGGCATCTAGTGATCGGTAGTGAAATGAGGTACAGATCTTAGATGTGAGCTCAATGGATACTGTCTTTTTTAAGTTTCAGTTGCAATGGCTTGATTTAGATGTCGCCGTTTTCGAAAATTCATCTTTTACCTTCAGTGCTTCCTTTCATTACTGTCATGAATTTCTTACTGATTGATAATAATATATTCCTTTTTTGTTTACAATACCTACTTCAGTTTTAGCTAATTTGTTTATACAGATTTAGACTAGGCGGTATCTGTTTTGGTTTGGGTGAATCTTATATCCATGGAGATTTTTGGCTTTTTGGCTTTCAAATATTACTAGAAATGAAAATTTTTCTATGCGCATAAAAAAGAACGTGGGCTTAACTTTTGGCGGCACAATATGTTAAAAAAATTCGAAATACGTCATATTTTTCTTCCTATTTAATTATGTATCTTTTCAAGAGTTGATTTTAGGCGAAACTGAAAGAGGAAAAAATGTTTGCAATCAAATTTTTTACAAAACATGTCTAGTTACAAATCGACTGAATCATGATTATTATGGTAAAAATCGAAAAATTCGCAAAAATGGGGTTAAAAAACAATACTTTTTAGGGAATTTTTTTGGGGTATTTAAATTGGGTATAGGACCTTTATACTTGGCTCAAAAAAACTTCATGTTATGTAGAATTATCACACCAAATTTCATCAAAATCGGTTCGATAGATTTTGCATAATAATTTTGCAATCCAGATTTTAAAAAAAAATTGCAAATTTTCAAAATTTTGCACAGCAAAAACCAAGGCCCTTAGATACTTGAAAATTTAATCACATATAGAAGGGCTCTCAGGCTTTCAAACTTTTTTTGAAAAATTCGAATCCGTCAATTAGGAGAGCTCTGGCGCTTGTTTAAACATTGGTCGAATTTTTGTACTTATAAACAATTAGAACTTTGTGAATATTCAATCAAATCAAATTTTTTAAAGCAGGTTTTAAAAGTTCTTGGAAAGACGCTTCTTTAAAAAAAAACAGATCGATTGATCAATTAGTTACGTAGTTATAGCCGTCATTTACACTAAATGTACTGGGACATCCGGGCTAATTTTTCGAAAAATACCTTTGGTATTCCGAGTACTTACCAGGTCTAAGATTACAATACTTTTCTTCATTGGCAACCTACTTTAAAACATGTTTAAAGTTATTTATGCAAGCGAGAAATTCAATAAAATCGTACGAGTGGTGATGGTGGGGGAAGCAGAGAGCGCGGCCGCTTCGGCCTGCTCGAAATTGAATCGGCTATAACTATGTAACTAATTGTCTATAGTCTAAATCAAGCTATGACGTTATTGACTTACCAGAAGAGAAAACAAGATGGCTGTCAAGAACAGATAACGTCAGCGAAGGTGATAATGATACCTTTTTGATAAACTTATAGATATTTATAAGATTTTACAGGATATGCAATATTAGCAGAGAAATACTAAAATTATTAAAAAGCCTTTTCTAGGCAACAAAATTGAAAATTGAAATGAAATTTTGAATAATAATATAACTTTTGATTTGAATGCTCCACCATTTTGAAAACAAACCAAATATTTTGCTGACATATTTTAAAAACTTATAAATAAATTTGAACACGTTTTGATTTTGATTCTAAAAAAAAAGACCGGCGATGTTCTTTTTTTAGAGTGGGCACGGGGTTCTCTGGGGTGGGCCGTGCATACACCTGCCCCCCACTAGCTACGCCGATGCTTGTTGACATTGTCGGTTATCCTTATTTTCTGTCTGGGCCAGACATTCCAGACAATATAGCTACGCTTGCGTAGAGCGACAATAGTCACAATGCTGTCTAATTCATAGATAAGAAAAATGGGCTTTGTTTTGATAAACCATTGTAGTATTTGTAGTGTAAATAAGGATGACACAGATGTCATCTCCCCAATCTTGACTAATAATTGTCTAACATAGTAATGAAATATGATCAATCGATCCTAGCAGCCTGAAAGGAAATTCTTAACTTTTCTATATTACGAGTACATTTTTGATTCTTGTTCCAATTACCTTTCACAGCGACCACTTCAGGAGTTGTCAATAACTTGCAGGCTTAAGATTTGAAAGGGTTTTATAATTATTTCCGGGGCTAACTTAGAAGCCTGTTACAATATATTCGGACAGCCATAGCAGTTTCAGAATATACACTAAAGATGGCGCCACCAAATAGAAAAGCAATGTATGTGGAACTTCAAATTACTAGTCCATCATCATTTTCGTGGCTTAATTTTAGTCTTTAAATATCTACGTGTTTTCAATTATTTCCATTGCACATATAGATATATAGTATTTAGGTTTGTTACATGTTTCAAGAATTGATATTCAGTCTAGTTTTTAACTCTTTAAATACCTACCTACGTATTTAAGATTTAAGTAGGTTTGGAAATCTTTTTTGATTCGGTTTATTCTAAGCAGTAGATGATATATTTATATTTTTTTGGAATGTTGTTTATTCATATGTTGAAATTGCACTAAGTGAGATATATTTGAAAAAGAGAGATTAGGAATAGTGTTTATTATTCTGTCACAGTGAGGAAATAATTTCGGTTCAACACAGTTTTATTTCGAGTTTTACAGCGTATCCCCCGAAAAAAATAATAAAACAACACATCAAAGCGCGGTCTAATTTTATCTCGACTCCAATAAAAATATCTGGGCGAAATGTTAATAGCAATCACTCACTGTCATCATCATCTAAAGATACCTACGTACCTATCCCCAGCAAATTGCTACGATCAGCAAGGTATTTTTTGTCGCATCCGCCATTTCCTGACCGCGTGAACGGCAATTAACAATTATTTGTAAATCCATACGAGATAATTAAAGACGCTTCCAGCTATCGGCCTTAATTGATCGCATTTACATTTTACAAGCGGCGTGGGAAGTTGTAAAAGCGTTTGTTCGTCAGAATTTCCCCTCGATCGGGCAACACCGCCCGGTCAACGTTGACTGGAAAAATACCTGTCAAGAGAGAAAGCGGGCGTGGCCAGCCTGCGGTGGTCAGGCCATTGGCTGAGATGGCGCTGACGTATGCTGCGAACAACCACGTGGTTTAACTTCTCCCGCCGCCGAAACAGTCGCGGCAGATGAGCGGAGTGCCGCGAGTTGCGATATGTCCGCTGAGTTCGCCGTATTCTTGCGTGAACAATGGATTGTGCGCGTTAAAAGTGACGAAGCCTCCTGATGTCCCCGTAAAAATCAAAATCGGAATGCGCTGCGTGCCGTTAATCCAGAGTGCGCCCGTTCGTCGCTTTTGAATCAGTCGATTGCGATGCCCCTTATAGGTTATGAACAGAGCGCAGAGTGCCGCGACTGGTGTTTTGTTTGATTGTTGGCGAGGATGGCGTTGGGTTTCTCGGGTGTAACGATTAGTTGTGCCTCGGTGGTGTTGTGAGAGGTGACGGACCAGGTATTCAGCGAGACCCAGACCAGAGGAGGACCGTCGGCCGGCAGGATGTACCCCGCTCCTGCTCGACACCCATCTGCCGCGGTAAGTGGTTGTTTTGTCCTCCGCCCCGCGCCGCCGGCGTGTTCGAGCCACCCCCGCCGCACCGAATTAAGCAGCAACAGAGGGATCGCCCGTCTCCTTTGCTCCGCGCCCTTCTCGCTCCTCGCTAATAATGTTAAACGCCAATTGGGCCCGCTTGCCAATCAATTTTTGGAAAATTACCTGATGTTTGATGTTATAATACTTAACGGGACGGGGGACGGGGAATATTTATGTTTTAGATTCCTAATGTTTGAAGAAGTAACGAGTTCTAAATTGTTTATACGCTTGTTACATCACATACTGCTTAATTACACTTCCTACTTACCTATAGGTATTTCAAATTAGGTACATCTTATTCTGTCTATAACAATTGACTTTTTTTTGTCGTGCTAGGGTAATTGACGAGAATAACAGAATCCGACAGAAGTAGGTACCGTTCTTTAATGTTTAGTTCAAATTGAATCAATTTTGACACCTTGTACATAAATAACAATAGTAGTACAACTTGTACATTGTTAAAACGTTTTAGTCTGTGACAACAAAACGGTTTCCTAGGTAGGTACCTAAATAAATATTTTTAATTGGTAGGTATACCTACTATTTGAAATATATTTCTTTTCGGTTTCTCTCACTACTGTTAAATGCCAATTGTTAAAGCTGCTAGCCATCAATTTTTGGAAACTTAGGTATAGTAGGTACCTACCTAACTATCTGTTGTTTCATGTTGCGACAGGGAATTATATTTTAGATTCTTAGTGGCATAAAAAAATAATGAATTTCAAATTGTTTATAGGTACGCTTATTACAGCACTTATTTTATTCTTGATTACACATAAATATTTTATATTACCCTTATTCTGTCTACAACGAAAGTAATACTTACTACTTAAGTAAAAGTAGGTAGGTAATTCTTATTGTCTTAGGTCAAATTTATAGTCCAGACGGTATCTGTTTCAAAAAGCCATATTTGGGTGAATCGTATATCCACGGAGATTTTTGGCTTTTTGGCTTTCAAATATCACTAGAAATGAAAATTTTTCTATGCGCATAAAAAAAACGTGGGCTTAACTTTTGACGGCACAATATGTTAAAAAAATTGGAAAAATGTCATATTTTTCTTCCTATTTATGTATCTTTTTAAGAGTTGATTTTAGGCGAAAATGGAAGAGGAAAAAAATGTTTGTAGTTAAATTTTTTACAATACCTGACTGGTTACAAATCGAATGAATCATGATTATTATGGTAAAAATCGAAAAAATCACAAAAATGGGGTTAAAAAACAATACTTTTTAGGAAATTTTTTTGGTGTATTTATATTGGGTGTAGGACTTTTATACTTGGCTCAAGAAAACTTTATGTTATGTAGAATCATCACACCAAATTTCATCAAAATCGGTTGGATAGATTTTGCATAATAATTTTGCAATCCAGATTAAAAAAAAATGCAAATTTTCAAAATTTTGTACAGCAAAAACCAAGGCCCTTAGATACTTGAAAATTTAATCACATATAGAAGGGCTCTCAGGCTTTCAAACCGATTTTCATGAAATTTGGTGTGATAATTCTACATAGCATGAAGTTTTCTTGAGTCAAGTATAAAGGTCCTACAACCAATTTAAATATACCAAAAAAATTCTCTTAAAAGTATTGTTTTTTAACCCCATTTTTGTGACTTTTTCGATTTTTACTATAATAATCATGATTCATTCGATTTGTAACCAGTCATGTATTGTAAAAAAATTAATTAGAAACATTTTTTTCCTCTTCCATTTTCGCCTAAAATCAACTCTTAAAAAGATACATAATTAAATAGGAAGAAAAATATGACATTCTTCCAATTTTTTTAATATATTGTGCCGTCAAAAGTTAAGCTCACGTTTTTTTTATGCGCATAGAAAAATTTTCATTTCCAGTGATATTTGAAAGCCAAAAAGCCAAAAATCTCCGTGGATATACGATTCACCCAAACCAAAACAGATACCGCCTGGTCTATTAGACAAACATACATTATTACAGAGATAAGTAAAACTTTTTAGTCTTTCACAACAAAACGCATACCTAGGTACCTAAACAAATATTTTTAAGTAGGGGTAGTGCACGAATTTAAAAATATCGATCTCCTTCCTGCTTTTCATACGTTGGATGTTATAAGCAAACTCCAAAATGTTAATTTGTAGTTAAATGTAACTAAAAAGTCTCCAAAAGTTTTTACAGTGGAAAACACGAAATGGCTTGGTCATTTTATGTAACCTAATGATCTTATACCTGCTCATTTTCTGTCCTTATCCTTTTTAGCCTGCTCACTCAAAGGGTAGTTCTTATTTTAGGGGTGGAAAGCGTTATATAATAATAACCATGTGGCAGATCTTTATATTTTTAATTTCTTAACCAGAGACAATTTTTCCAGTATCGGGATATCAGGCTGGTTGATACATGAACATATTTTATTTTTTCATTTGTAAATAAAGAAAAATCGAAACTTTGCCACAAATATGAATAGTTTCGGACAATGTCACAGTGTGTGTCTGCGAACATCGAACAATTGGCCTGTTTGGTTTCTTCAAAATTCATTTCGTGACAAAGTTTCAGAATAATAAATACCTATATATTTTTTAATCACGGCATACAAGATTGATAGCATAGGATGATGATATTATTAAGGTATTTGAGTGGGGCAAAACGATAGCATACATAGAAGTCAATTAAAATAAATCTGGAAAACGTATTTAAAATAATAACACCCAGTATTTTTTACAGAAAATGGTATATGGCGATTCAGTTGCTCAACACAAATAGTTTTCCCATATTAGGCCAGGAAAAAGAGCTGGGAAATTACCATTTCGCGAGTTTTTGTTTCGGCAAGCTGAATTTAACACTATAGATGCTAGATATTATGTACAATAGCATATTAGTTTCCACAGTCATAAAAATGGGGGAACATTGTTTAGAGGCTGGTTAATTGTATAATTTTTACGTAAATTCACGTTTTTCGTTTATAACTTTTTTCCGTTCATTTCCACGAGAAAACAGTAAAGTACTTTTTTTTCTTCTTCAAAAGACATACAAAACTAGCCCTCGAGCGTCAAAAAATATGGATTAAATCAAAAGTTATAAACAGAAGAAGTTTATTTATGACTTTTGAATTAAACATTTATAAACTGCGTTATTATTATCAGGACGTTTTGGCATCGCATCCTCTCATTCCTTATCACTGTCTAATAACTCACACGAAATCTGGAATCGGTAAGTTGAATAGTTTACAAGTTATGGCCTTATAAACAAATTAACTAATTATTAGTCTGGACGATCCCGAGCATCTTCCACAATCGCACTG